CCCCCCCCCGCCACCGAATCAACTTCCCAAAGTGAAAGGCTGATCATATTACTCTGCCCAAAACAACGATTTCCTATCATCCTCCAGATGAAGTCCAAACAGCAATTGTGTAGGCATGGCAGACGCCTGAAAAGATAAAAATAAAAAATAACAACCAAAAAAAATTTATAGATTAAATACTCACAAATTCTTTCAAATACTGAAGGCTTATTGTTGAAAGGAATAGCGGTCTGACTCCCTGGCGATATGCCCCGGGGAGAATAAATATAAACAGGTGAGGATCATTATTTCTTCTCACACCATTTCCGGTCTCCTCCTTGTCTCTGCATACTCTTGCCTCTTACTCCCCACTGAGAGATAAGCCCTGACGTGCTCCTAACATTCAGACAGGTTGTTAGCATACAGGAGAACATACATTTGGATTCGGTCAACACTGGTCCTTGGTTTTCTCATCTCTAAAATGGAAGTGATGATTCCTTCCTCGCAGAGGTGCCGTAAGAGTAAGTGAAAGTGTTTGTCGAGTGCCTAAACCATTGCCTGGCATACTTAAGTGACCCATATACGTCCAGCCCCTTTCCCCTCCTTATTCCTGGGTCCACTGGGGGGATAGATTGGTCGTAATCGTGTTGCCCTGTTGTCTATCTTTTGGTAAGCCCTTCTTGTCTTGTTCCTATGAGAACTTTGGACCCCTGACAATAGAGTAACACATTTTAACTCTACTCATCTGATAATGTCGTAGAGAATGTGCGATGTTAACAAAAAGTTACTGAGAGGTACTGTCGAAAATGACGAGACATCTAGAACCACAAAGTGGCCAAAGTCTTGAAAGGAAGAGAGGGGACAGGAAAGAGGCAAAACAGTTATGTGTGTGGTGGCCCAATACAGACAGGGGAAGTATGATTTGTCTCTTTCTCCTCATGAATATTATTATCACCATGTACCATGTAAATTAAAATCCTTAAGCGACAGTCTCTCGCTGGGTGACTAGCAACTATATTGTTCTTCTGTGCGAAGCGTTCAGCTGTTCCCTCCTTCACGGCAAAACACTCATAGGAGACATGATTGGTTTCGCCTTTATCCAGCCGCCATCTTGATACTCTCCTAGCCTTCACTGAATCCGACCAACCTAATATGCCCTCTAAAGCTTTTCTTTATAAAGACCATTCCCCTCACAATAAACACTTACTATACCTATTTGTGAGTGTATCAGAAGTTCTATCTGTAGCATATTTTTGTATTCAGACCAGATTTCATAAATATTTAAGTTGATTGCACATGAGTTTATTATACACACTTAAAAGTTTATTGCTTTCCTGTCTCTATTTTGTTTCCTTCCAGTCTGTTCATCTCTGGAGTCTTTTAGAAATTTACAACATATACTTAAACATTTCTGCCACTCAATCTTGATCCTCATCATAACGACTTCCTAAAACATTGTTATTTTTTGAAGAATTTCCCTCAACCGCTTTTTTTTTTTAACCTTCGCTTAGCCGTTTTTTCCGCCTTCCTCCCAAATCTTGACTAACTGCAAAAGTCTTTCAGAAATAGATATTGTTTCTTAATCACATTTAACATCTTAATCATGTTTAAATACCTTCTCACCTTCTTTTCTTGAATTTTTTCATTCGTTCAGCAAATAGTTATCGTATTAGGTATCAGGAGTTGTTCCCACGTTAGAGATACAGCAGTGAACATAAACCTTTGTTTTCATAGGACTTACATCCTACTGGGGACACTGACAAATAAGAAAATAAACCACACACATGCACACACACACACACACGTATGCACACATACATCCTTCTAAACCCGGAATACATTGTGTGTCCACTTTATACAATACTCTCTCCTCATCTTTTTGGAATAGACTGTGGGGAACAGGACACCCAACTGGGATAGATTTCTGGAACATCTCGAATTTCTTATTTTTACCACTCATGTGGAATTTATCGAATACTACCTGGTATTGTGATAATTTTTCATAGACCAAAATCTTCCTGCCTAAATTGAAACCCCACGTGGGCCAGCTTCATGACTTCCATTTCTCCCAGCAGCCTTGCCTTATAACTTCTATGTCCAAATAGTTGACGGAATCAAAAAGGAGCAAGTGATTAAACTTTGAAAATGTCAGTACCCAGTTTGGAGCCAGTCAAATGTCTCTTTCTGTTTAGCTACCTGCCTTCTCATCCACCGATGAACATAGAAAATATCCTTATTGTTTTGGATTCCCACAGTAACTCTCTGTTTTCTGAGGTAGTTTTGCTGAAGTCTTGGTAAGAAAGGTAAAAGTTCCACTATCTTTAATCGCAAACTGGTGTTCTTTCTGAGGGTTAATTTTACGAGAGTTAATTTTGTAATTTCTTAGCACTTGTCTCCATAGTGATTTAGAAATGGAATTCATTTGGGGTGCCTGGGTGGCTCAGTCGGTTAAGCATCTGACTTCAGCTCAGGGCATGATCTCATGGTTCATGATCTTACGGTTCGTAGGTTTGAGCCCCACATCAGGCTCACTGCTGTCAGTGCAGAGCCCGGAGCCTGCTTCAGACTCTGTCTCCCTCTCTCTCTCTGCCCCTCCCCTGCTTGCGCTCTGTCTCTCTCTGTCTCTCAAAAATAAATAAATGTTTAAAAAAAAAAAAGAAGAAGAAGAAGAAATAAAATCCATTTAAGTATTGAAGCCCTTATTGACATACCCAGGCAGGCTTCATGGGAAAGAGGTCCAAATGAAGTACTTCTGTTTGTAGCAGCAGAAACTACAGTTCAGAGGCTCCTATAAATTATCCCTTCTTAATCACTCAATAGGATTGCCCTCCATGATGTGCTAAGTCCTGCGTGCTGGCTCTCGTCTGCTACGTACCAAATGATTCTCCTCTCTCACCTCAGCACACTCAGAAATACACCTGCTTTGTGTTATAGGTGCTCTGAGTCAAGCTGTCCAATCTTATAAAGCTACCCTGTAACTTTAGGAGCAGGTAAATCTAAATATGCTTTTCGCCATTCTAATTGACCTTTCTCGTGGTGGCTCCCAATTTACTAAAATCTTACTATGTATGTGAAGATGTTCTATTTATTTGTCTTGCAAAAAAAGAAATGTGTTCAAAAATTTTTGTTATTTGTTTTTGAGAGAGAGATAGTGCAAGCGTGAGAAGGGCAGAGAGAGAGAGAGAGAGAGAGAGAGACACAGAATCTGCAGTGGACTCCAGGCTCTAAGCTGTCAGCACAGAGCCGGACGTGGGTCTCAAACCCACAAACCATGAGATCATGACCTGAGCCAAAGTCCAACGCTTAACCAATTGAACCACCCAGGCGCCCCAAGAAAGGTATTCAGATGATAGAGCTGGAAATATTAATTTTTGCTTAGAAATTTTATCATAATATATGGGGAGTACATTTTAGACCCTACTTAGCTGCAGTAAATAGAATATTGAATTAAAAAATACAAAACGTTGGGTATTTGTGGTGATTATAGAATTTTGTGTAATGCTTCAAAAGCAATTAATAAGATTATTTTTTGTATTTCTTCCTCCAAATGAATTAAAGAGAAAACTCACATGGCCTTTGGTTGACACCCCCCCCCATCCTGTACTTCGAGAAATATTTAAAGATAATTCCTGCTTCTAATTTACTGCTAGTGGAACAAAATGCAAAATAGTTGCAAAGACACAATTTAGGAGATTCACCTGGCCGGGCCCCATTTTCTTAGCTAGGGGATGGGTGTGTGTCTGTGTGTGTCTATATATAATATATGATATATGATATGTGATATGTGATGTGATATGTAATACATAATATGTAATATATAATATGTAATACATAGTATGTAATATATTGTCTATATATAATGTTATATAATATGTTATATATAATATATGTTATATATAATATAATATAATATAATATAATATAATATAATATAATATAATATAATATAATTGTGGCTAAGGTTTATTTTAGTAAAAGATACAATTCAGGAACAGCAGGAAAAAAATAGACGTAAGCAAAGGCTATAGAAGTTCACATGGAGGTTTCCTCGTCCCCCCCCTCCAGTTCTGCTAGCGTAACAAGGGCTGCAATTTTCTCGTGAGGTAGCTCCACCCGAGGAAGTGCACCTGAATCGTGGGATCTGAATTCATATCGGGAAGTTCCAATTTGAATGACGGTGCATTTCTCGGAGGCCACAAGGAAGTGGCACAACGTGTCTCAACTGCCAAAGGCATCAACCACGTGATCTCTCTCGGGCGAAACTATCCTTTAACAATGAAGAGGGGGAGGTAAAGACATTCCCCAGTGAAGGAACACAAAGAATTACGTTTCAAAAACTGGTTAACGGCCTCCAGGACAATAAGCTGTGACCGCTGGCAATGCCTTTTCCACTGACAGGAACCATTTGCATCTCTGCTACACACGTTAACTAGCAAATTCTCTCGGGTTGAAACTATTAATTAAGAGTAGATTTTAATTAAGCAGTATCTTTACTGTTTATTAAGTACATTTCAGTTTTCGTAAGTGCAGAACTAAGTACATTTCTTTAGATAAACTTCAGGTAAGTCTTCGCCCCTGCATGACATGGAAATTCTGTGCTATCCGTATTTTGGTTTGCTTTTTTCCATGTTTTGGGTAATTTTTAAAAAAAAATTTTTAAAGTTTATTTACTTTTGAGAGAGAGACACACACACGGGAGTGTGAACAGGGGAGGGGCGGAGAGAGAGAGGGAGACATAGAATCCAAAGCAGGCTCCAGGCTCTGAGCTGTCAGCACAGAATCCTACGCGGGGCTCGAACTCACAAACCGTGAGATCTTGACCTGAGCCGAAGTCGGACGCTTAAGGGACTCGGCCACCCAGGTACCCCTGGGGAATTTTTCTTAAAAATGGTGATGCAGGGGCGCCTGGGTGGCGCAGTCGGTTAAGCGTCCGACTTCAGCCAGGTCACGATCTCGCGGTCCGTGAGTTCGAGCCCCACGTCAGGCTCTGGGCTGATGGCTCAGAGCCTGGAGCCTGTTTCCGATTCTGTGTCTCCCTCTCTCTCTGACCCTCCCCCGTTCATGCTCTGTCTCTCTCTGTCCCCCCCAAAAAATAAATAAACGTTGAAAAAAAAAAATTAAAAAAAAAAAAATGGTGATGCAAACTCTTCTTGCTGAAGGGCCCAACTGAAGCAAGAGATGATGTAAGACTGGCTTCGACTCCCTGAGGAAGCAACCTATTTTCTCCCAATTCAATAAATGCTTCTTGCATACCTACTGTGCACCAGACATCTTGCTAAGCAATTATACGGAAGACCAACGTACGATTTTCGTATGTACCAATCAGGCAGTGTTACCTTGAAAGTTAATTTCTCCTGCATAACGTAGAGGCTATAAAACTCCATCCCTGTCATCGAAAATTTGAAAACGGCATATGATGTGGTCATCGAGGTTTAAAATAATCTATTTCTGTGGGGTTCTTTAGATTACTCAGAGCACAGTTGGTGTGGTTCATTTTGTGACGTTGATTGCTGCCGTGTACTCTCAAAGGAAAGGCCGAGGGAAAAAAGAGGAGGAAAAAGTGAAGGAGGAAGAAGAGGTTTCGACATTACCAAAATTGATGGGAGAAGGAAGCCCCGAGAAAGAATGGTATCCTCCCTTCGATCCTGACTTCCGTGTTTACGTGTATGAAGTGACCAAATCAATATTTCCCATAACCAATATTAAGGAACAGATTGAGGTCCTTGCAAGGTAAGTCAGTTGTCTCTGTCTATGCATGCACATTTTCAGTTTCTGAGAAAAAGTTTCTGATGTTAGCGGTTTGCATTTTTTAGCCAGTTTTCAGGTGACTCCGTCATAATAACTGCACCCCACCGCTGACTCTGAAGCAGAAACACAATCAATTGAAAAAACGCTCCATTTCTATTTTACGTCCTATTTCCACCAAGAATCAGAGCGAGGAGCTGGAAATTGCTTCAAGAAAAATGCCTTTGCTTTTGTCATTTTCTCCAGCGAAACCACTAAAGCCATCCTTCAATGTGATCCTAAGGAATGAATCAAGTGTGAAAATTAAATGACTCCGTAGGTAGATGGGGTGCTCACAATTTAAAGGAATCGTATTGTGAATTATTTGTAGACTCAAAAATTATGTTCTAATACAAACAACCATCACTGATTTTTATGTCCTATGTCTGATATTTTGCACTGCGCGTTGCTCTAACGTGGGGGTGTGAGTGTTCTGAGGGATGGCTATTTGGGCAGGCTCAACACCCTGCAGACGCCAGTGAGGCTGCCTTCTTTTCCTTAAAAAAAATTTTTTTTAATGTTCATTTATTTTTGAGAGAAAGAGAGACACACAGCAGGAGCGGGGAGGGGGCAGAGATCAAGGGAGACACGGAATCCGAGGCAGGCTCCAGGCTCCGAGCTGTCAGCACAGAGCCTGACGCTGGGCTCGAACTCATGAACTGTGAGATCGTGGCCTGAGCCGAAGTCGGACGCCCAACCGACTGAGCCACCCAGGCGCCCCCGATCCTGCCTTCTTAATTGGAGCATTTAGTGTGAGTCCGCTAAGAGAAACCTGAGAACTTGACGTGGTAGCTGTGAGGGGTTAGGAATCACTTCAAGTGGAGGGTGGCCTTCGCCACTGGCACCAAGAAGGAGCAGGTGAGTTAGGTGAGCAGGTGGATCCTGCAACAGCTGGGGCCTCCGCGGGAGCTCGTACCCTCTCCAAGTTGAAGTGCACTGCACTCATCAAACCTGGATGTGACAACCGCAAGAAACAACAGCCGCCAGATCATTGACTTCTCGTCAGCCAGAACCGGAAGAGAACATTTTTGGCTGCTGGCGTTTTTTCGGGTGTCCTTGAGAAGTGATGACTCAAGCAGAACTCTGATCTAGCTCATTTCAGCATTTGCCAGACGCCCTCGTGCTTTGTTCCTATCGGGAATACTTTTCATCACTCCCAAATAATTGTGGGTTTTTCGTTGTTTTTTTTTTTTTTAAACCTGAGCCTGCACCAGGACGGGGATGCTGAGATTTGCCCCCGAGCTGCTGGTCCCCAACACTGAGCACGGTCTGCCTGGCTGGGTCGTGCGACAGCTTTCTCCCCCACCTTTCCTCCTGTTTTCGGCCGTTGTTCTTCCTCGCTTGGTTCTCTGCACAGCAAGACGAAAGTTTTTCTTAAAATGTGCAACTCTGCCTCTACTCCAAGATGCGGTATAGCCTTAGTTGACAGAGGATTTTTGTAGACGTGTTTACTGACCTCTTCAGGGAGAGCCTCCAATGAGGAGAAACCCCCGGGCACATCCATTCCAACTCTTCACCCAACTTATTTTGTCTTCTGCCTTCTTCCTCTCTTCCTCTCACTTTAGTGTTACCTCAACGCCATCTTTCTCTAAATCAAAAAAAAAAAAATTAATCAAATATATCTATATTTTTAAGGTTATGTTTTTATTTTGAGAGAGAGAGAGAGAGAGAGAGCCCCACCAGGGCAGGGGTAGAGAGGGGGGGGGGGAGAGAGAGACAGAATCCCAAGCAGGCTCTGCGCTGTCAGTGCTCAGAGCCCAATGCAGGGCTCAAACCCATGAACTGTGGGACCGTGACCTGAGCAGAAAACCAGGAGTCAGACGCTTGACCGACTGAGCCACCCAGGCGCCCCCCAAAATAATAAAATTTAACAGGGAAAAATTAGAAAACTTGAAAATATTTGGGGATCCAAAGGAAAAAATTCCAATGTGTGCATGTTATCTCTAAGTTCAAAGTCGTTAAAAGAAGGACCGTGTATGTTAGCACGATGCCTTGGATTTCAGATTGAAGCATTTGTGAGTCTTTTGTCAAGGGCAAGGTAAAGCTTTAAAACTGTGTTGATAGGAACTTTGTGTGATATGATTTGTTTCTTGTTATAAATACTGCAAAGATTAGCATTCATTTCTTCCTTTGTGTTGAATGAAATTGTGAGAGTTTCAGTCTCTATATGATAGTTTGAATACAGTGAGCCTAATGTTAACCCACTTATAGTAAGTTTAAAAAGTAAAGCAAATAAGAAAGCCAGAGGAAATGCAGCTTTTACACATACAACTGTACGTAGAGTTACACCCAAAGCATCTAAAATGGGATATGAGGGGCGCCTGGGTGGCGCAGTTGGTTAAGCGTCCGACTTCAGCCAGGTCACGATCTCGCGGTCCGTGAGTTCGAGCCCCGCGTCGGGCTCTGGGCTGATGGCTCAGAGCCTGGAGCCTGTTTCCGATTCTGTGTCTCCCTCTCTCTCTCTGCCCCTCCCCTGTTCATGCTCTGTCTCTCTCTGTCCCAAAAATAAATAAACGTTGAAAAAAAAAATTTTTTAAATGGGATATGAAACTCGATTGATTTGATCTCAATGTCATTGACACAGGTACGTGGCAGAAAAAATGGGAGGTAAAATGTCAAAGGAGAAACTCCATAATTTCAGCTGGGAACTCCATATCAGTGAACTAAAATTTCAACTTAAATCCAATGTTGTGCCAATTGGACAGATCAAAAAAGGAATCTTCTATCATCGAGCGTTGCTTTTCAAGGTATTTGAGATATTTTGCCTCATTTGCCTTTAGATAAAAATGTTTGTCTTTCTCATAATAGTGTGAGCCACTTGCTCACATTTAACTGGCTAATATTAATCCTGCCACCTAGATTTACTTATTTGTGTGTGTGTGTATACACACACTTATTTTTGTGTGTGTACATGCACACACACACACACACGCACACACGCGTATATATTTGTCAGACTACCGGAAGCACATTCATTCAATATTTATCATACACCTACTACAGGTCAAGGGCTCTTCTAAGGTCTGGGAATATGGATCTCCTAAAGCGATAGCCCCTGCATACACACAAGGGCTAGACTTGTGGGTTCTCAGGTGATGTCAGGGAAAGTTTCAGGGGAGGAAGTGATGTGTAGCCTGAGTATTAGAGAATACATAGGATTTCATCGGGTAAAGAAGGAAGACAAGAACATTCTAAACAAAGCAAACATTTTATACAAGATGACAGAAATGAGAGTCCATGGTCGACTTGAGGAATGTAGCATAGTTTGCCTGGAAAAAGGAAAGAGGACGGGTCAGATGCAGCTAAAGGGCCAGAGTATAAAGCTCCATGTGAGTTTGCACTTGATCTAAAATCTATGAGTGGCCACTGAAAGTTGTTAAGGGGAGAGCATGATTTAAAAAATACTTATATAGGGGCACCTGGGTGGCTTGGTCGGTTAAGCATCCGACTTCCGCTCAGGTCATGATCTCACGGTCCGTGAGTTCGAGCCCCGCTTCGGGCTTTGTGCTGACAGCTCAGAGCCTGGAGCCTGTTTCAGATTCTGTGTCTCCCTCTCTCTCTGCCCCTCCCCTGTTCATGCTCTGTCTCTCTCCGTCTCAAAAATAAATAAACGTTAAAAAAAATTTTTTTTAAATAAATCAATCAATAAATAAAAATACATATATGTGTATATATATGTATCTATATGTATATATTTCAAGTTTATTTATTTTTAGAGAGAATGAGCAAGTGGAGGCGGGGGGAGTAGAGAGAGAGGGAGAGAGAGAGAATCCCAAGCAGTCTCCACACTGTCAGTGCAGAGCCGGATGCAGGGCTTGAACCCACGAACCATGAGAAAGTGACCTGAGCCAAAGTCACTTAACCAACTGAACCACCCAGATACCCCGCAGTAACGTGATTCTGAAAGACCATTCAGGCGGCTGAATGGGGAATGAATTAGAGCAGGGGCAGGACTGGAGACAGGAGGACCAGTTGGAAGGTCAGTGGAGCAAGAAATACAGGTGACCTCTACTAAAACCATAGCCATAGCCATGGCCGTGAGGATGTGAAAGGAGTTGTGAACTTACAGAGAGATTTAAGAGCTAAATGGAAAGCAATTGGTGTCTCCCTAGGTGCGGTGTGAGGGACTGCATGAAAAGAACAAGAAGATTTTCAGGCTCTGGGCGGGGCAACTGTTAATGTTGGCGTCGTTCACTGAGGGGGACACGAGAGAAGGGTCAGGTTCACGAAAGAGGGGGTAATTTTTTTTCCTCCATTGTATCAAGCGTCTGGAATGTAACAAGAGCTGCAAAAATGGTTTCTGAACCGTAGACTGAATGTATACAATTCCTACCTCCTCCCAAATACCTACAAACCTCTTTACATCCATGTGTATCTTGCCTCCAGCTCCAAGCTAATTCTATATATAATTGGAGGGCCAACTTTCCCTAGTTTCTTTTTTTCCTTAAGTTTTATTTATTTTGAGAGAGAGAGAGAGCGAGGGAGAGCGTGTGAGGGAGGGGCAGAGAGAATGGGAGAGGGAGAACCCAAGCGGGCTCCACTCCATCAATGTAGAGCCCAACTCGGGGCTTGAACCCACAAACTGTGAGATCATGACCCAAGCCAAAACCGAGAGAGAACGGGACACTTAACCAACGGAGCTCCCCTTGTGCTCCCCAATCTTCCTTATTTTCTTGGATTTCTTGCTCTAGCAAATTCTTCTCTTCTGCCTTAAGTCTCTTTCTCTCTCTGTTTCTCCTTTAAAATCTAAACTTAAGTCTACAATATTTAAAGAGGAAATATAAATCTTTTCTCGGAATAACTACAACTATTCCTGTAGCTCCTATCATCATGACCACCACCATTTTGAGCCACGTGACAGACACTTGGTTAATGCAATTGTGAAAACTCTCAAAAATACCAAAAGTCGAAATGACGATCCTTGTTTGAAAGACAAGAAAACTGAACTGAGAGAGGGGATTTAACCCAAGGTCAGCGAGAGGCACAGCTCGACTCTGAACCCGTGTCTATCTGAATCAAACCTACCATATTTTTTCTATCTAGATAATTCCCAGTCTTGGTCAAAATTCAGAGTCATCTCGGTACCTTGTCCCTCTTTGGCTCACCTCATTCTTCTTCAGGCCACTGCGGTCTCTCGCCTTGGCTCCCTCTCAGGAAGAACCACAGGAATCTATTGTCTGTCTTACTTGGTATGCCAAAGACTTTGTCACTCGTCCTTCTTATTCCCTGACACCACTCTTGAGTAACTTTTGTTCTCTCTTTCCACCTCATCTCAGTCTCCTCTGGTGACCTCTTTCCTCCAACGCTCTTTTAAGTGTTGGGGTCCCACAATGTTCCAACACAGACTCTTCTCCCTTCTCACTTTATGTACTTCATGTGGTGAGGTCATGCTCTCACGTGGCCTTAAATACTAACTGAATGCCGCGGGTGTCCAGATTCTTCCCTCTGTCCCCCAAACCTCTCCTGATTCCACATCCGTGTGCCTGTTTACCCTCCAGGCTGCACCTGAGTGTCTCACAGGCACTGTATTAGTGTGATCATCTGCTCAAACAAAATACCGTACATTGGGGGGCCTAACCAATAAATAGTTATTTCTCACGATAATGGAGGCTGAGAAGTCTAAGCTCAAGGTGAGAATGGAGCCAGCGTCTGGTGAAGACCCTCTTCCTGGTTTCCAGTGGCCACTTTCTTCCTTTGCTCTCACAGGATAGATGAACCGGGGGCTCTGGTCTCTTCCTCCTCCTACAAGCCCTCCCAATACCTCCACACTGGGGGTCAAGGCTTCAACAGATGAGTTGGGGCGGAGGAGACATAAACATTCAGTCCGTAGCACTATGCCAGACCGGATCCATTACCCTCACACCTCGGTTGAGTCATCCAATTCATCATTATCCTGATCTTTCCCACCGCTGACATCCCAACCACTGATAAATACCCACTGATAAAATCTCTTACCCTCTACCTCCGTAAATCATTCACTCCTCTGAATACTCTTCATCTACCCCACTTTCTTCCAGTTTGTTGCCTCCTTTTTGGTTTCGCTTTCCCACCCCAGCCACCTAGAGAAATCATCCATAGACCTTAGAATTCGCTCACTAACTTCCCTCATCTTCTTGACCACATCCTTCCTCTCCCCTGCCTCGCCGGTCCGCCCTGGGCCAGTCTGATGGCTTGCCCTTTCCACTGTGCCACCCAGGCTGTGGAACAGGACAGTGGGGGGACGCCACAGCCACCTCAGGGTGCCCAACTCAGGTGGACATTCAGGTGTCACCCTTTTCCGTCTCCTGGTCACAGGAGAGTTCTGGGAAAAGACCTTTTCTCTTTTTTCCTCAGCAGCTGTGCCCCACATCTGTCTTTCCTCCTCTAACACTTTTCATCTCTACCTCTTTCTCTGAGCAGACAACCTTGTTTCCCACCTCACAAAGAAAATCCAGACTTTCAGAAGAGAACTCATTCAACTCAGTGGGAGGCAGTGTCGCCCTGAGGTTAGGACTCAGACTCTGGAGACAGATCCCCTGCCTTCCACGTTAGGTCACCACTTACTGTGACCTCCTTGGGGAAAATTATCTGACCTTGGTTTTACTCTCCATAAAATGGGAAATGCAGTAGTATCTATTTCACCGGATTATTGTGATGATTTAAAGTGCCTTGCCGTGGAGTTTAAGAGATCAGTAACCATTATTTTGGAAAGCATGTTTATTTTTGGCTCTCTACCCCACAAGACAGTGAATGTAAGAGGATTCTGGTACCAATTCCAATGGGGGAGGGGTGGCGGGGATCGGGGTGGGCAGTTTCTATACATTCAGGTAATCCTCCGACCTCAGCTGGGTCAGTTCAACTCGATTCTGACACTACCTGCCTGGAGATGATGTCAGATCCCACAGGTTAAGGGCTCAGTCCTACAAGACTGTCCCCTCCCGGCCACACACGCTTCAGCCACCAGTCACAAGCCCAGGTTGTCATCTGTGCCTCTGACCAACAGATTGGAGGTTCCCCTGGACACAGCCCCCTCAGGGTTGATTAATTTGTTAGAGCGGCTCCCAGAACTCAGACACATTTTCCTGACTTGATCGGCAGTTTATTAGAAAAGGATGTAACTCAGGAACAGCCAGATGGAAGAATTGCATGAAGAATGGTATGGGGTTGGGGCGCCTGGGTGGCTCAGTCGGTTGAGCGTCCGACTTCGGCTCAGGTCACGATCTCGCAGTTTGTGGGTTCGAGCCCCGCGTCGGGCTCTGTGCTGACAGCTCGGAGCCTGGAGCCTGCTTCGGATTCTGTGTCTCCCTCTCTCTCTGCCCCTCCCCCACTCATGCTCTGTCTCTCTCTCTCTCTCTGTCAAAAATAAATAAACATTAAAAAAAAAAAAAAAAGAATGGTATGGGGAGAGGGCTTGGAGCCTCCATGTCCCCTCCAGGCACACCACTCTCCCCAATCTCCATGTGGTCACCAACCCGGCACTTCTCCAGAACCTCTCCTTTTGGATTTTTATAGAGGCTTCATTACATAGTCATGATTGATGAAGTCATTGGCCACCGGGGGCTGATTCAACCTGCAACCCCCTCCCCTCCCCAGAGGTCAGGAGGTGGAGCTGAAAGTTCTAACCCTCCAGTCGCAAGATTGGTTCGCCTGCCAAACCATCCCCACCCTTGGGGGTGGTCCAAAAGCCACCTCATTAAGAAAAGACACTTTTATGGTGCTCATCACTTAGGAAATCCCAAGGGTTTAGGAGTTCTGTGCGGAAACGGGCGAAGACCAAACGTGTATTTCGTATCATAAATGACAACACCACAGAGTGCCATACATTTGGATACTGTCACGTGAGAGTTGACGGTTTCCCAGGCAGGCTCAGCCTAGATAGGAGGTAAGGCCCGAAGAATGACGACCATGTGTTAATCGTCTTGGTCCACCCAAGATCGCCTGGTGCCATCACGACACAGTACGTAATCAGTGAGTCACATGAATATATAAACAGGTGATTAAAACAACGCGATTCCTGCCTCCTCTGGCTAGGAGCATTTATTGAGCACCTGCTCTGTGCGGGGCTCACAGCCCTAAGCACTTGACACGTTTTAATCCACTTCATCCTTACAACCTGCTAAGCAGGAGGCTCTACCGTTATCCCCATTTCCCAGACGAAGAAACGGAAGCACAGAGAGGCTGAGCCCTTTGTTTGTGGTGACAGCAGCCAGGGAGCGGCTGAGCCAAAATTCAAACCCACGCAAGTCTGAGCCAGCTCTCTCAATCCATCATGATGTGGCAAAGAAGTTTCCAGATTATTATTTTTTAACGTTTGCTTATTAATTTGAGAGAGACAGAGAGGGAGATGGAGAGTGTGAGCAGGGGAGGAGCAGAGAGAGAGGGAGACGCAGAATCTGAAACAGGCTCCAGGCTCTGAGCTGTCAGCACAGGGTCCAACGTGGGGCTCGTACCCACCTTACGGTGAGATCGTGACCTGGTCAAGAATCGGATGCTTCACCGACTGAGTCACCCGGGCGCCCCAGTTTCCAGATTATTTTGAAGGTACTTTGTAAATAACCTCAAAACCGGGACGAACTGAAGAGACCACTTCCAAGGAACATTACACAACTCAGGAAGTGGCAGCAGGCAGCCCCAGCAGAGCAGGACCGTCCCCGGCCAACCAGCTCCTCCTGCTCACGGCACGATTTCCATCACACAGAACAAATCGGCAAGAAATAGGTTCCCACCAATTTGATCCCTCCATTCAATCCCACTGCATATCACACCCCCAGAGCAGCCTAGAAGCATGGAAAGATTGATGGATGCACTAGCGTTGAAAACCCGCGGAATAGCTTTTCTCCAATGACGTTATCAATCTTGTGCTGATACAATGCCGTGTAACTGCCTGAAAAATGTCACTTCCCAGCAGGACCTACACAGAGATTTTTGAGGCTACAGGATCTCGAGGAAGAAGGGAACTTGTCACATTGTATTGGCTCCTATCACAATATTCCACGTGTTTTTTGTTTTTTTTTTCTTCTAGCCTCCTTTCTAAGCACTTCTTTGCAAGAGTTGTAGATTTCACCTTCAACAAGATGGGTCTTAGAGCTCAGGATTTTTTTTCTCCCCTCCTCTCCCTCCTCACTTTTGGTCGATCTTGTGTTTTCTCCCACAGGCTCTGGCTGATAAAATTGGCATCGGCTGCTCTCTGGTTCGTGGGGAGTATGGCAGAGCTTGGAATGAAGTTCAGTTGATGAATGAATCTCGTAAGGGACTGATCGGGGCTCTCCCTCCTCCTGAGGTCTACATAGTTGACCTCATGTTCCATCCAGGCCGGCTGATGAAGTTAAGGAGTAGAGAGGCAGATCTTTACAGATACCTCTAAACGATCAAATGACCAAACAGGGGTTCACCGGAGAAGTTCATTAGATACGCTTTCTCTGAAGTTCACCAATTGGTTTTATTTCTTTAAATAAAAGTATGAGAAATGTTCTTTCTCTCTGCGTAGAAATGAGGACACTGGGATTGAACTTGGTTGTGTTTCTGATTTCAGTCACTTTTGTAAAGTAGGATTATTGATAGTCCGAACATTTCTAGATTGATTTTAGTACTACAAATTCCTTTCTAAAAATTTGTGTTCATATTTTTTAAAGTGTATGTCTGTTAAGAACACCATTTAATATCCTTCACTGACCCAAAAATCTTTCTCAAACCTGTTCCCGTGAACTGTTTGTCTTCTGTCCTGTCTCGGATTACTTGAAACTATACCTCCAGTTCAAAACAATTCTGATGTCCTTTTACACGTTTAATGCTGGGTCACGAAAAGAGTATTTTAAATGTATTTAGCTTAAAAATTCTTTCTTTAGAAACTTTTAAATGTAGAAATCGAGTCAATCTTTGTCAGAAATTGTGTTTTCGGTATTCAGAACAAAATGGGGAACAGACACACATTTCAAATGATGAATAAAAACTAGTAATGGGATGACTCTCATCAAATATATGTATCTTAGTCTGGCTTTGAGTCTCACGTTTATTGTAACCGTTTTACTCGAAGGTTTTTAAAAGTCAGCTTGATTTCAGAAGTGAAGGCTGAGATGATTCTGTATGAACCGATGTGTAACTTCAAAGAATTTGTATTTCCTTATTTCAAAATAAAGCTCTTTATATCAAATGGTGGGGTAATTACATTTATCATGCCATTTCATGAACTGGAGCATAGATTATAGGATGCAAACCCGTCTAAGCATTTTCAAGTCTGTTTTGATCCAGAACGCATTTAAAGTGGATTACAGAGATATATAAGATGTAACAAGGTAAAAATAAATGAAAAACAGGCCTAAGTGTCGGAAAGAAAGTTCACCGGGGCCAGGAATAAGCTTAGAATTCAAACGCATCCATGAAAATCCCATGCATTTGTTAGCAGTGGGTGAAAATTTGACGCTAAGCTCTCCAGCAGACAATGCAGAGGGAAATGCTATCAGTTACATGATTTATAATAGGGTCCGCTCGCTAAAAGCACAAAGCGGTTTCTCAGGAGGAACAAAGACCAGGGAATTTCCTCTTTGGGAGTTTCATACAGATGACAAATGTAATATAGAAAATAACATCTTTGAAAAACAACCTCCTAGTAAGTTCTGAAAAGGGTTTTCGTAGGCGATGGCCTAACATCAAAATGGATTCCATTCAGAGTCCCTGTGCTATGGTCCAGGTAGACATTACATTTTCCAGCGTGGTACAGGCCAAGGGTTGCCCCCCTCTCCCCTTTTTTTCATCTTTGAAACATTTGTGTATAATGTCTCTCTCAGCGAGGCTCTAGGTAATTACTGAACAGGAATGAGTTTCAATTATATTTTCAGACAGTTCTTTGAAGTTTATCTATTTCGTGTTACCACGAGACAATACATTCACAATAGCCACACACGGCATAAAATACCTAGAAATAGATTTAATAAGAAATACACAAGAAAAACTATAAAATTTTAACGAGATCTGAATTAATGAAGATACACGCCATTTTCCTTGATGGAAACTCAGCAGTACAAAGATTTTAATGCTTCCCATATTAATATACGCATTTAGGATCTCATTTAGAATCCCGACACATTTTCTTTTCTGGAAACTGACAAATAGCAAACTTTATCTGGAAGAATGAGTGCATATGCATGCCAATAATATTTGAAAGTAAAAAAAGAAAGAATTGGTTTCATCATATACCAGGACATATATTAAAAGGCAGTAATAGGGGCGCCTGGGTGGCTCAGTCGGTTGGGCATCCGACTTCGGCTCAGGTCACGATCTCACGGTCCGTGAGTTCGAGCCCCGCGTCGGGCTCTGGGCTGATGGCTCAGAGCCTGGAGCCTGCTTCTGATTCTGTGTCTCCCTCTCTCTCTGCCCCTCCCCCGTTCATGCTCTGTCTCTCTCTGTCCCAAAAATAAATAAACGGTAAAAAAAAAAAAAAAAAATTTAAAAAAAGTGTTGCCACTGCCATTAAAAAAAAAAAAAAGGCAGTAATAAATTAGTATGGTATGGACATAAAAATAGAAAAATATTAAGAGTACAGACACAGATACATATATATATGTATATATATATATGTATATATGTATGTATGTATATGTATATATATATACATATATATATATACGTATATATATATATATAGATTTAGTATTGATAAAAATCGCTTTTCCACCAGGAACAGGGCACAGTGATAGCCTATTCAGTAAGTGACAATGGGAATAATTTTCCCAAGGGAAGATCCTTTCTATAATGACAGATAAATGAGAAGCCACAGAAGAAAATATCTGACAAGTTTGGCTCCGTAAATCTTTCAAATTCCTGTGTGGAAAAATACAGCATCAGCAAAAATATTTCTGTTCAGCAAAATAAAATGTAAGCAAAATCATAGGGAGTAAAATATTTGCAGCATATGTATCAGACATCATGTCAGTGTCCTTAACAAACAAAGAGCTTCTATAAACCAATGAGCAAAAGATAATCCACTCGGAGAATAGTCAAAGACAACGGTGTTTAAGTAGGGACATCCATACAGTGGTAATAAACAGTCGCCAGATCTCAGTAGCCTGTCGTTTGTCGTATTACATGTCAAACACAGGTCAGTAAAGGAGGCTCTGTTTTCACACAGTCACCGAAGGACCCACGCTGACAGCAGCCCTTCTGCTTTATAGCAGTATGACCCGGAACACATGACTGTCTAAGCCACTGCAGTGGGGGCAGAAAGTGCTGAGGATCTCTTTCAGGAATTAGGTGCTTTGGGCTGAAATAACAGGTTATTTGGTCAGAACTAGACCCAGGAAATATGGGGAAATATATGGAACCAAGGAGATGTGAGTTGGAATCCTACTCTGTCACTTAAAAGCTGTGAATACCCCACAGGTGTTGTGGTTGTGAGGTTTCAAAACAATGTATTATAAAGTAGCGTGTTGTTCTCTTCTGGAGGTCAAAGCATTTCATTAAAATTAATACCTAACTTTTAAAAGCAGCTATTAATTGAATACAGAAATGGACAGGTAAATAGAATCCTCTCCCCAGGCTTCCCTCCCCGGCTCTTGAGCAGGTATCCTAAATGAGGATTCGAGTCTACACTGCACTTTTATGAAGTACACATCAGATTTCAAATGCACTAATTCCTTGTCAAAGAAGCACCATTGTCGTCCATGAAAAATACTTTTCCAGATGCTCAAAATACTATGCGAAGTCAAATGGATACTGACCTTTTCTTTTTATTGCCACAGAATTCTTCAAATATGGTAACTTGTTTCTCAACAAGATTATCACCATGATATTCCTCTGCAGAAGGTGTAATCTGGAGATACGATGCATCAGGAGATGATGGTGTGTTTTCCTTTAGAACTCTCTATTTATTTTAAATTTTTTAATGTTTTTATTTTTGAGAGAAAGAGAGAGAGACACAGAGACACAGAGAGAAAGAGACAGAGCATGACTAGGAGAGGGGCAGAGAGAGAGAGGGAGACAACAGAATCCAAAGCAGGCTCCAGGCTCTGAGCCATCAGCACAGAGCCCGATGCGGGCTGAACTCCCGGACCGTGAGATCATGACCTGAGCCGAGGTCGGACGTTTCACCCACTGAGCCACCCAGGCGCCCCTCCTTTAGAACTCTTCAAAGAAACGCTGTAATACATATACTAGTTGCTTTCTTTCTTTTCCTAACTCAGCACTAATAAGGTAGGATAAACAGGCTCTATGAAAATTACATGGAAAATATCACTGCTTGGGGTGTAATCTTAAAGCAATACAATAGTAACAAATCACTTATCTACAATTTAGTATTTAAAAGTACTAGTCTTTAAAATTACCTGAATATTTTTATATTGATAACTAGCAAAAGCTTTGCTTGGGCTTATACTCTTAAAACCCTGAATATAATTATTTTAATAATAAAAGTGGACCTGACTTCAAAAGACAGCCATCAAAGTGTGAGATGGGAATATATTAATATAATGAATTCAAATAAGGCTCTCACGGAACTCAGGCTGTACAGGAGACCTGTACTGATCTGCCAATAAACAACCCACAAATAACCATTTTTAAAATATTAAGTATTGTTGGAAAGGGTAAAGAAATTCTGCTGTGATTTTACTAATGAATTCAATAGGCCCTTATTATCGAGAAGCAATATAATAGCGGGGGTAAAGGCCCAGATTTTCGGGTCAGAGCTGAAGTTAAGTTGTGCGTCTTTTTCTACCTGTGTGACCTGGACAAAGTTACTCAACCTCTCTGTTCCTCAGTTTACTCTTTTGGAAAATGGGGAGACACAATAACAAATATGTGCATATTGTTTCCTATGCGTCAAGAGAAGCTAAGTAACTTATCCAAAAATCACTCGGCTAAGAAGCAGCAAAGTTTTAAATTTGAACCTGATTTGTTTCCAGAGGCTGTGCTCCCAATAGTATGTGCCTAATGATCCCGCTGTTCAGTTGAAAGGCGACCGTGGTGCAAATGACCGATGTGTGTGTGATTAGGGGCAGGAAGGGGTGTGGATATGGGAGTACACGCCCGCGTGTGCGTGCGTGTGTGTACGTGGGTGTGTTTATAGCTCGTTTTCCTCACATTGCTCACACAGTGTTCTGTTCACACCTCTTCCTTTAGCACATTTTGAGGGAATTCTTTATTCTATTTGGCTCCCGGGCCGGTCCGTCAACCCTCACTTCCAGTGACGTGCATTTTGAGGGTATGGACAGGCAAGCAGTTATGCTTTACCTCACTTAGTCTCCGAGCACCTGGCTAAAAATTTAAGGGAGACGCTCACGCTGGCATTTTGTCTTCCTTGGTTTCTTTAGGCTGTAAGATGGACCTACTCGATGTTAATCCAATGGACCCCAGAGCAGTGGCCTTAGTTTTCTA